GTCTGTTTATTTGCTTTGTGACTGTATGTTAGTTCCCTTGTGCTTTTTCCTTCTTCCACCCACCCCCCGTGCACCGACCATTTCAGGTGTCAGTCTGTTCTGTGTACCCTCTTCTAAGTTTTTATGAATTTCACGTAGCTTCCAGATACCTGGGAGCTACTATGGTATGAGCACTAACATCGTTTCTAATTAAAGTCTATTATGAAAATTGTCCCCTCAGTGGTCGACCAGCAGTTTGACCGCTTGCTATGACATGCGCTGACCACCACGGGTGTGGTGCAGAACATGGTGGGCGTCAGGGACGCAGCACTGGCAGCAGGCAGCAGTGGAGGTGCTGCCGGCCCTGATGGACCCCAATGAGAGTGGGACCACAGCGGGATAATGGAGCAGGTGAGCAGCTGGTGCCAGGCCAAGGCGAGTGTGAGCATGGGCCTAATGGCCCTGCCGATTGCCCCACAGATGGCGATCAGTGGTGGTGGCGGGAGGTGGAGCCATCACCCAGCTCCCAAGTGCTAAGGGAGCCAGGCAGGGGGGCCAAACCTGATCAATTGCCCCACAGGTGGGATGGTGGAGCAGGTGAGGGGGCCGCGCCAGGCCAAGGCAGGTGCCAGGCGGGGCTTTGGGTCTGTGAGCTGGGGGTGCAAACTGGGGCTGCAAGGCTGGGGCGCGAGCTGGGGCCCGATCTCCACAGGCCACCCTGAGGGCCCCCCAACTGTGTACGAATTTGTGCACCGGGCCTCTAGTCTTATAGATAAAACAGTCCATATTAAGCTAATTGAAAGTTAACTTCAATCCTGTACAAAAGCTCTAAACATTTACTAATGTTTTGTTGTCTTTTTTTTTTTTTTGCAAATACAATATGGTTAAACATGATATTCAGTATTGAACTTTTCCAGTACATGAAAGATGAAAGTTATCTTCTCAGAATAGATGTCTTATTAAACTGTTCCATGATTACATAAAGAGAGAAGCATGAAAGCTTAAAGGCGAATAGAGAGAGGTTCAAAATGTGTATAATGTACTTTAATGAGGAGAATCAAAGGATTGCAACTTTAGTCACATGCAGAACTCTAAAGTCTAATTATAGGAGTCCATCATTTGGAGGCAAAGGCCAGAAACTAATTCTTACTCATAAATGTAACTGAATTGAAGCATACCTGGGGGAATTTTTTATTTTATAAATGTGATAAGAATTAGTATTTTTAGCTCCTCTTCTTACTTTTTAATAGGCTTTTCAGGATACTTTCAAAAACTTCTAAGGTTTATAAAGTAGGTGTACAGGAGAAAAACTTTGGAGAAAGCTTATATTCCAAGAGGAAGTTCTTTTGACATCAAAAGATGAAGAAGGCAAATTGTCTTGCCCAAATTAGAAAGGGACAAAGGCAATCAAAATATTTTTATTATATATGACCTCCTGGCATATTGTAGTTTTTTAAAATTTATTTATTTATTTATTTATTTATTTAATTGTGTCTCCATTTTCCCCAATTGACCCCGCCCCCCCATTCCCACCAGAGTCTGTGTCCATTGGTTATAGTAATATGCATGCATACAAGTCCTTTGGTTGCTTTCTACCCCCTCTTCCCCAATTTGTCTCTGGATCTATTCTTGTTCATCCAATTATGTTGATCATCATCATCATAATGTAGTTTCTTTTTAAAAAAACATTTTTATTCTTTTCAGAGAGGGAGAGGGAGAGATAGAAACATCAACAATGAGAAAGAATCATGATTGGCTGCCTCTTGCACACCCCTTACTGGGGATTGAGCCCACAACCTGGGCATGTGCCCTTGACTGGAATCGAACTGGGACCCTTCAGTCCTCAGGCCTTGACAGTTTGTAACCTTGGATACACAATGAACAAACACTTGGCATGAGAATATGGGAATTATTATCAGTATTCACCTATTACGTTAGACGGCTAGCTTGCAAGGTTAGACAGTTAAGTTTTTATCTTTTTCTATTATTCAAACTAAAAAACAAAGTCATTTTATAGAATAAGAGACTATCTAAAAGTGACAGAGTTTACATTGACAGAGTTTACAGAACAAGGGACTATCTAACAATAGCAGAGACTTGCAACTAGCAGTTTTTTTTTCTAAATATATTTTATTGATTTTTTACAGAGAGGAAGGGAGAGAGATAGAGAGTTAGAAACATCGATGAGAGAGAAACACTGATCAGCTGCCTCCTGCACACCTCCCACTGGGGATGTGCCCGCAACCCAGGTACATGCCCTTGACCGGAATCGAACCCGGGACCCTTCAGTCCGCAGGCCGACGCTCTATCCACTGAGCCAAACCAGTTTCGGCAACAACTAGCAGTTTTTATACAAGATGTAGGTTACTGTGCTTCAGTACCAGCTGGCCTCTAGCACACCACTGGAAACATCTTTCATTGGAATTTAAGGATGTGTTTTTGAAAATGCACACTAAAATTTCAGGTGAACATTTTAAGATGTTAAATTTTCGTGATGCAAATATTGAGAGCCTTAATTCATAGCTTTATTGAGATGCCATGTGTGTATGTGTATGCCTGTATCTCTCTGTGTGTGCATGTTATTTAGGCTAAGAAATCAAGCATTTGTTTTATAGGCTTGTCTCTCTAAATAAATCAAATAAATAGAATTGCACCAGATAAAAATACAAAAGTAAGCTTGATGATCCATCTGATAATGTTACTTTTATGAGAGCATATTTTTACATGATCATTTAAAATGTAAAAAATGGTCCTAGGTGTGCACGTCTGAGTTGAAATGCCATTGTGACAGTGGCTGGACCGGCCAAGATTGCAATACGCAGTCCAGACAAGCTGACAGAGAAATAACAGGCAAGTATCTGTCTCTTTACAAATCCAGCTAATAAAATTCTCAAATAGCTTATCATGACAAAAAAAAGTTAGATGTTTGACACTTAGGAAGAAATGACTATTTGTAATTGAAAGGTATGTAGACTTCTTTCAAGAAATGGAAACCAAATATGCCGTCTTAATCTTGCTCTCTTTTTCTAATTTTAACTTTCAGATATCATGATTGAAGCTGAGAGTATCTTTTAAATTTTTATTGATTGATATCATTGACTTTCCTCCTTTAAGACTATATTTCAATATTTCCTCCTTTATAATTGATTCTGTGATCTCAGCTATACACACTCTGTTACTATGTGTTCATTATAGAAGAAATAAAATAAATTGAAGATAATTTTTACTCTGAAGAAGTTTACAGTTTAAATGAGAAAAACCAACTTGCTGCTGTAGAGATCCCAGAGGGATGCTAGCACAGTGTTGTATTTGTTCACCAGGACTTTAGTTTCCATTATTCATGCATTGATTTGGCAAATATTTATTGAACTAATATATGTTTGGTCCTGGTCATATGGCATAAGGGATGTACAGCAAGTTAAATCAAGTCTCTCTCCTTGTGGAGTTTAAATAATATGTTGCAGGTACCATACCCAGTGCTAACTAGTTGTAGAATAAGTATTAGGAATCAAGTCTGATTTTTATGCCAGTGCCATTGTTGTAGCAATGGCTCCATATATAAAAACAGATCCGTAATGTCAAAAAGTCAACAGTCTAATAAAGAAAAATAGGAAATGCACAAATATAGTGAGATTCAGTGATAACGCACCTGGTAACAATACATATTTATCGAATAACCTTGCAATTACACCATACCACATTATGCGTTATTGGAGTTTTGGGGCCCCACTTAATGGTGTGATAGTGAGATTTTTATGTAGCTGCTGTATAATACAGAATACATTGCAACTTTCTGGAACTTGGTTTCTATTCATTTAAAAAAATCTTTATTGTTGATATTGTTACAGATGTCACCCCCTTTTACCCCATTGCCCCCTCCACCTAATTTCCATTCCATCCCAAGCCTTCACTACCCTATTGTCCATAGGTAATGCATATCTATAATAATAATAAAAGCATAACATGCTAACTAGACTGGACATCCTTCCAGACTACCTTTCAGACGAAGCTGGGGCTGAGAGGGAAGCCTGGGTTTTGGGTGCCTGCCGGCAGCCAAAGGGAAGCCTGGGTCCCAGGTGCCAGAGGGAAGCCGGTGCCGGCAGCCGGGGAAAGGAAGGCCTACTCTTGCATGAATTTCATGCATTGGGCCTCTAATATACATATAGTTCTTTGGTTAATCTCTTCCCAGAGCCCCACCCTCTTCCCTCTGAGATTCATCAGCCTGTTCCATGTTTCTATTTTATTCCTCAGTTTATTTTGTTCATTAGATTCCTTGTTCATTTATTTTAATTTTTGGATTCAATTGTTAATAGATATGTATTTATTGCCATTTTATTCATATTTTTAATTCCTCCTCCTCCTCCTCCTCCTCCTTCTCTTCTTCTTCTCCAACTGCTTTTCTCTTGCTGTTTTTACAATTCTCTCTTTGTTTTTAACCTTTGTCATTTTACTTTATTTTTAAATATATTTTTATTGATTTCAGAGAGGAAGGGAGAGGGAGAGAGAGAGAGAAATATCAATGATGAGAGAGAATAATTTATCAGCTGCTTCTTGCATACCCCATGCTGGGGATTGAGCCCGAAACCCAGACATTTGCCCTTGACCAGAATCGAACCCTGGACCCTTCCGTCTACAGGTCAACACTCTATCCTTTGAGCCAAACCAGCTAGTGCTAACCTTTGTCATTTAAATTATGAGGTGTCTTGGTGTGGGCCTGTTAGGATTCCTCTTGTTTGGGACTCTGTGCTTCCTTGACTTGTAAATCTATTTCTTTCACTGGTAGGGGAAGTTTTCTGTTATTATTAATTCAAGTAGCTTTTCAGTATCTTGCTCTCTTTCTTCTCCTTCTTGCATCCCCATAATGCAAATGTTGGTATACTTGAAGTTGTCCTAGAGGCTCCTTACACTATCTTCATATTTTTGGATTCTTTTTTCTTTTTGCTCTTCTGTTTGGGTGTTTTTTGCTTCCTCATAGTCCAAATTGTTGATTTGATTCTCATAATCCTCTACTCTACTGTTGAATCGCTGTAAATTATTCTTTATTTCAGTTAGTGTATGCTTAATTTCCGACTAGTTTTTTTTCATGTCTTTGAATTCTCACTAAGATCCTTGAAAGTCTCACTAAGTCCCTTGAAGCTCTCATTAAGATACTTGAGCAAACTTATAACCATTGTTTTGAACTGTGTATTTAGTAGTTTGTTTGCTTCCATTTCATTAACATTTTTGTCTGGAGATTTCTTCTGTTCTTTCATTTGTGACATGTTTCTTTGTCTCTGTATTTTGGCCGTTTCCCTGTGTTTGTTTCTATGTATTAAGTAGAGCTGCAGTGTCTCCTGAAATTCATAGAGTGGCCTTGTGTAGTAGGTGTCCTGTAGGGCCCAGTGGCTCAGCCTCCCCAGTTACCTGATCTGGGCACTCTAGGTGCAATCCTGTTTGGGCTGTGAGCATAGTCTTGTTGTAGTTAAGCCTTGATTGCTATTGATGTCACTGGGAGGAACTGCCCTCCAGGCCAATAGGCTGTGAGGACCAGCTGTGACTGCAGTGGGAGAGCTGCTGGAACAGGACTTGCTTCAGTGGGGCTTTGGTACTTACTGGGTCTGCCCCTTTAGTGTGTTGCTTGTGGGTGTGTAAAGTTGTAATCTGGTATGGTCTGAAGCTGTCCACCAGGTGCACTGGCTCTGGGGCCTCCCAGGAGGTGCAAAGTCAGCCACTACCTGGGGCCACCTGGAAGGAGCCACAGAGGGACCTGCAGATCGTCACCACTTGTGTTGGGTCCGGAAGTGCCCAGGTGAGGGCAAGTTGTCTTGGGCCTCTTACTGAAAGGTATGGGGTATGCTGATACCAGCTGTTGCTTGCTTGAGAGATTTTAGGAAAATCTGAAGCCTGAGCCAGGACAGGCCATTCATATGGAAAAGCCACTGCAAACAGCTTGGATGGAATTGAAAATCGGATGGGGCGGGTCCTCAGGGAATTAACCAGGGCAGAGTGAACAGTGTAAGCCAGGCTGTTGGAAACCCAGATATGGCTGCCAATCAGCTCTGTGACAGAAGAGGTCTTAGCACAGGAACAGTGGCCCCTGTAAGCACCCCTGTCTGGGAGAAAGCCACCGTGAGTTTTTGCTCTGATGGCAGATAATTCAGTTCCTCCCTGTATGTCCCTGGCTCCTTCTGAGCTGTTGCCCAGGTGCTGGAGCTCGGAGGGAGTGAGTCCATGTAAGTTCATGTGCCTGCCCTTTAAGAGGCACTTACTTGTCCGTGCCATTCAGCCACAATCCCCACTGGTTTTTACAGCCCAAGTCACAGGGACTTCTCTTCCCAGCTCTGGAACCCTGGGCTGTGGGTCTGGTGTGGGGTTGGGACATCTTGCTCCTCCCAGGAGGCGGCCTCCGCAGCCAAGGAATCCCTCCCAATTAAAAAAAACCCCAAAAACGCCACACATGGGTGTCGGGCCAGCCTGTTCTGCATCTCTACCCCTCCAGCCAGTCTTGATGTACTTTTGTCTTTAAATCTCTAGTTGTATGACTTCCATCAGGTGGTTCTGAATGATGGTTGTTCTGTGTTTTAGTTGTAATTTGATGTGGTTGTGGGAGGTGGCGTGTACTGGTGTTACCTACACTGCCATCTTGGTTCTGAATCTTGGTTTCTATTCTTTTAGAATGAGAGGTAATAGAGATAGTCCAAAGTATTATGATTCTATTATTTTTCCATGTTACTGAATAACAACAAAAATTCAGAACTTTGTAATTATTTTGCTGCAGCTTAAAAGTAAAAGTAGACAGCTTGTTTTACTCTGATTTTTTAATGTCTTTTGCTTTTAGAGTTAATCATGGAAAGGGATGCTTGGAAATCTGCAAAGAACCGGTGGCTTCTAGGTTTCTACATTACTTTACCTGTTCTCATCATAGTAATCATAACAGCTATTACATTGAATTATCTGAAAAAGCGGTTCAGCAAGGAAGAGGAATCCAGAAGTAGCAAGTAAATTTGTGTTCTGAAGTTAAACTTGATACCACTTGAATCTAGTCAAATGCAAGGCATTATTGTGAGCAACAACAACACATTTTATAAGAACTTTTAGTACTACATCAGTATATCATTTAAATGTGTGATAATTTTGAATAGTCGCATTTTAGAGATACAAAATATGGGAGTGTAGTTTAAGTAACTTTTCAAAGTCATTGCCTTGGTATTTGAGAGAGGAAGAATTCTAATATATGTATATCTATTTATTTTCAAATACCATAGAAATTCTCAGTGATCTCTGTCACATTACAGGAGAAACACCAGAGTATTTATTAAAATACAGATTTGTGGGCCTTATCACATATGAAATATTTCAATTTGCATTGCTGTGTCATATAAGAAATAGCTTTAAAATGATTCTCTGGGTACAGTCTTCAGAAGTTGAATTCATAATTTAGCCTGAAATATATTTTTATTTTTAAAAATAATTCAAACACAAAGACATAGAATAAGGTGCAAATACCCATTTGCCCACCATTAGAAACAAATGCTAATATTTTTCTTATTTCTCTTATGAAGTGATCATTACACGTACAGCTGCAATCTGCTTCTAGTATTTATTCCTACCTGCGGAGACAATCTTTACACGAAAGTCATCGTATCTGACATATTTTTACTACATGTGGCTGTATCCATGTGCCATATCTAGACTTATATATTATTTTATATATTTATACTTTTTCATAGATATATTTTCTCTTCTAATTCTAATTTTTCTTTTGTGGTTTTCCTTTTTCATGAGCAATTTTCTCAGAGATTTTTCTATTTTGTTAGTAATTTGAAAAATACAGGTTTTGGTTTTGTTGAGATCTCTATATTTTCTTTGTGTTTATTACCCTTAAATTATGCTATTTTCTTCCTATGTGCTCTATTTACCTTTCCTGTTTTAATTTTTTCTTGAGTCAAATGCTTTATTTATTACTTTTTAGTCTTTCTTATTTTCTACCATATGTTATAAAAGTTAAAACTTTCTCTTTGTATATAATTTTTTTTAGATTAATTTGAGAGAGAGAGAAAGAGAGAGAGAGAGAGAGAGAGAGAGAGAGAGAGAGAGGGAGGAGAGAGATATCACTTGTCTCCTGCATGATGCACCTCAACTGGGGATTGAACCTGCAACCTTTTGGTGTATGTTATAATGCTCCAACCAACTGAGCCACACCAACCAGGTCCTTTGTATATCATTTTATAATTGACATCTAGTTCAAAAAATTAGAAATTTCAAGTATGATTTCCTGTTTAAATCATGACTAAATAGTGTTTTGGTTTTTTTTAGTTTCCATTTATGTGATTTATTTTTGTTGCTATAAAAAGTATTTCCATTTTTTTTACTTATTGGGAGAGACTTGCCCTTGACCTGTTTGTTTGCACAATGTCAACAGCATGCTTGGTAGCATTGTGGACACTTTCAGTTTTTCCATGGTAACATTTGTGGGGCATTCCTGTATAAGTGTCTAAAAGGCTTAAATAATGTATAGCATCTCTCTCTCTCTCTCTCTCTCTCTCTCTCTCTCTCTCTCTCTCTCTCTTTCCCTTTGTGTTGGAAATGACTGGAAGATGGTAATTCCAACTAAAAGGCCCCATTTATTAATTGGGTTGTCTTGTTAGTGAATCATTCAGATCTTTTAATCATTTTTAAGATGGGCTGTTTGTTTCCCTATTATTTCATTTGAGTATTTTTCATATGTTCTGGATACAGCACTTTATCATTTATATGATTTGCATATATGTTCCCCTACTCTGAGACCTGTAATTTTCATTATAGCTAAAGTTTTAAATGATGAAATCCACGGTTCACTTTCTTTGTTTATAGATCATGATTTTGGTGTTGCACTTAGGAAATATTTCCCTAACCAAAATTCGTGAAGATTTTCTCCTAAAAATTTTATAGTTTTAGGTTTTGCATTTAGGCTTATGTTCAGTTTGAATTGAGTTTTATATGATTAAAGAGGTATGGATACAATGGGTTTTTCTTTTGCGTAAGAATATCCAGTTCTTCTAATGTCATTGCCTTTTAAGCTTCGTTAAGCACAATTAGAATAGTCACCACTACTGAGACAATACTCTTTTGAGTAACTGCACAACTCACCATGAATTATGAGATTTTTCACCTGAGGTGGTGGAAACACAAACTATTCCTGTCTCTACATGAGCACAATGGACTGCTCCTTTTCTTCATTTCAAAATCCTGCCCCCTCCTTCCCACCCACCCCCCACCCCCGCCCTTTCTCTGGATCGGGTGGTTTCCTCACTTGCACTCAATAATGAGTCTCCTGCTTAAGAGTCAAGAGGGACACAGTCTTAAGAGCTCTTTCCCTTTCTCCTTTTTTCTTGTCCTGTGAATTCTAGCTGCCTTTCCCTTCCTAGACTCCCTATTCTATTACCTCAAATCAGAGAAACCTCCGGCTTTGCCTACGTCTTTCTTGCTGTGCTACAGACTGGAAATTCTCACCAGGCAATAAGAAGGGTCAAATATAGGTCTCATCTATTTTAATCCCTTCTCTCAGAGATCACTATACTGCATTAACATATTAAATGTCTAAAATCAAAGTTCCATATATCTTGTCAGGATTTCTGGTTGTTTCAGGTGGGAAGGTAAGTTCAGTCTTACTCTACCTCGGCCAGAATTGGAAATATGTCTTTATCATTTATAATTGCATATCTCACATTTGTTTTATTTCCTCAAGTTACTCTTTCATCAACTCTTTTTTCATCTTTATCCTGTTTTAGACTTATAGAATCTATTCCTGCAAAGATCTTTATGGATATTCTAAATATTCTTATCTTAAAGTTTAAAAATAAATTGTGTTGTATTTCTTCCTCTTTTAAAAAAATATATTTTTACTAGAGGCCCAGTGCACGAAATTCATGCATGGGTGGGGTCCCTAGGCCTGGCCGGAGATCTGGGCCAGTCAAGTTCCCTGCCTCTCCAACCCTCCCTCCTTCCCTTGCTGCCTGTGTCCACCGCCACCCACCCACCTCCCGGTCGTTCTGTTGTAAGGTCGCTTAGGCTTTTAGATATATAGGTTGATTTCAGAGAGGAAGAGAGGGAGAGAGCGATTGAAACATCAATGATGAGAGAGAACCATTGATCCGCTGCAGTGTGGGGATTGAGCCCACAACCCAGGCATGTGCCCTTGACCAGAATCGAACCTGGGACCCCTAAGTTGCAGGCCAACACTCTATGTGCTGAGCCAAACCAGCAAGGGCTGTGCTGTATTTCTTGGAGTATGACTTTGTTGATTGCTGTGATTGCTGACACTCATGCTTAGTGGTTTGTAATCATAGACTCTTTTATCCTCAGTGCCGATGATTTTCCCATGAGAATTCTGCATGCCATTGTTGAAGACACATATATGTGGGTTGTTCTTTTTCCCCCCTGCTTTTAAAGCAAAACTATTTCTACAATTGCTATGCATGGTGTCCAGGGACTTGTAGTTTGTGAACTAGGATCCCGAAAGTATACTTTTTAAAGGCTTGAGATTCCTTCATTGATGCATTTTTCCCATCTACATATATCCTCATTTTTTCTACATTCAGAGGTTTTTGTTGCTGTTTTTTTGTTTGTTTGTTTTTTTAATCTTGAGACAAACTTTTTATTTCTTCCCTCCTATGCGCACTTTAAATTTTTTTTAAATTTGTTGGGGTGACATTGGTTAATAACAGTATATAGGTTTCAAATGTATAACTCTATCGTCAGAATTTTTATTATCCCTATTTTATGGGTGGTATGGTCCTCCTGGCTCCCAGGTTTAATTAAGGTGCTCACTCACAGTTTTATGACATGCAAAGATCTTGGACTTGATTTCTTTCTAAGGAATTAAATCTCTAGACCCAAAGGTGTATCACTGGCTTAGACATCCCTGGAGTCATTCAGTTTTAGCTCCTGTTTATCCTTTGAACTCTTTTTTATTTTTACTAGCATCAGGAGAAGTCTTTTCTTGTTTTTAATCTCAGCTATGTATTAAATTTTTATGTTTTTTTTCAGCACTCCTCTGTGTGAGGAATGGAAAGGACAAATATCTTGCCTGCCTACTCTGCAGCAATGCCTAGAAGTCAGTAGGGGTTTACATTTACCAAGTGTAGCATTTCTTTATCAATAAATACAAAGTTAAAAAGTGAGGTATGAAGGTAAGAATCAGGCATTCAGAATTAAATCTATATTTTGTATTTAGAAGTGACAAGCAAAAAGCAAGGCAAATCTGTGCCCTCTTAACACTCTTCTCACTGTGGGCTTGGACATTTGCATTATTTCTGGATGAGGTATATGGCTAAATAAGGTTATTTATTGGCATCTTTCTTCAGTGACCTTGGACATTATTTTCTTAATTGATAACCAGTCTTGTAAAGAGATAATAATGCTTATAAAATGGCCTCTTATTCATGCAGTAGGCAAACTTTCCTAGGAGTAACTTGAGACATTATTTTCTATTTCTTTCACTTTCCAGATCAGAAGGCAGTGTTCACACATATAGCACCGGGTAAGTAAATTAGAAAGTTTCTTAATATACATTTTAAAAATTAAAAATAAATTAATGATTCACAATTCAGTTCTACATTTTGTTTGAACTCCTGCAGTTGGTGAAGTAATGCCTTGAAACCAGGTTACTAATGTATAAGATTTTACTTTCTGGTAAAAGTTTTTTATTCATTTGGAAGTCTACTTTGAAGAAACAAGAAATAAAATAGCTTACTCTAATAAGAAATAGGATATGTATAATTAATAAAAAAGGATGTGTAGTCGTACCTTGGAAATATTGCAGGTTTGGTTTTGATCATTGCAATAAAGTGAATATTGTAATAATGTGAATTTTTTGGTTTCCTTGAGCCCTTAAAAGTTACATTTACATTATATTATAACCTATTAAGTGTGCTACAGCACTATGTTGTAAAAACCAATGTACGTAATTTAAAATCCTTTCTTGCTAAAAATTGCTAACCATCATCTGATCCTTCAGTGAGTCATGACCTTTTTGCTGGTAGAGGGTCTTGTTTTATTCAGTGTTGATGGCTGCTGACTGCTCAGGGGGGTGGTTGCTGAAGGCGGGAGTGGCTGTGGCAATTCCTTAAAATGAGACAACAATGAAGTTTGACTCATCAGTTGACTCTTTTTTTTTTTCCACAAATGATTTCTCTGTAACATGTGAGGCTGTTGGATAGCATTTTCCCACAGTCCTTTCAAACCCCACCACTACTTTATCAATTTAGTTTATGTTATAATCTAAATCTGTTGTTGTCACTTCAACAATCTTTACAGCATCTTCATTAGAAGTAGGTTCTCTCTCAAGAGACCACTTTCTTTGCTCAGCCATAAGAAGCAGCTTCTCATCTGCGCAAGTTGTATCATGAGATGGTAGTAGTTCAGTCATATCTTCAGGCCCCACTTCTAATTCTAGTTCTCCTGCCATTTCCACCACACCTGCAGGTGCTTCCTCCGCTGAAGTCATCCTTTGCAGAAGGTTTTCAATTTCCTTTGCACAGATCTATCAGAGGAATCACTGTCTATGGCAGCTATAGCCTTACAAAAATCTATTTCTTAAATAATAAGACTTGAATGTTGAAATTGCTCCTTGATCTGTGAGCTGCAGAAAGGATGTAGGGTTAGCAGGCATAAAACCAACACTAATCTTGTTGTCAGGGTTCTTTATCAGCATTCTTAGGTAACCAGATACATCATCAAAAGCAGTAATATTTTGAAGAACATCTTTTTTTTTCTTGAGCAGTAAGTTTCAACACTGGGCTTAAAATATTTATTAAACCATGTTATAAACAGGTGTGGTGTCATCTAAACCTTATTGTTACATTTATACAGTGAAGGCTAAGTAGATTTAACATGATTCTTAAAAGCCCTAGGTTTTTTTGCAGTGGTAAGTGAGCATCGGCTTCAACTTAAGTCACCAGCTGCCTTAGTCCCTAACAAGAGAGTAAGCCTATTTTTGAAGCTTTGAAACTAGGCAATGACTTTCCCTCTCTAACTATGAAAGTCTTAGATGACATCTTTTAATATAAGGCTGTTTTATTTATCCTGAATTATATTGTTTAGTGTATGGTAGCCACCTTCATCAATTATCTTAGCTAGAACTTCTGGATAACTTGCTACAGTATCTACGTCAGCACTTGCTGCTTCAACTTGCACTTTTATGCTATAGAGATTGCTTCATTCCTTAAACCTCACAAACCTACCTCTGTTAGCTTCAAACTTCTTGTTTAAAGGATTATGTTCCTTTATTGATCTGTATGGAAATCCTAAGCATTCTTTTGTTGAAGTTTTTCTGTTACCTGTAATTCTTGGTGTATGAATTCTTTAGTTTGCTCTGGCTGTAGACATTACCTCTTAGTGAGTTATTTTTTCATTGATTGTAACGCCATCTTAAGCAGCCAGGATTTTTTCATGAGAATTCTTCATATCCTTTTTGTAGAATTCTCCCTGTGGAGATTATCTCATGTTTTATCTTCTTAAGCCATACATTTTTACAGCATTTGTTAGACCTGCAGGTAGAGAATTCAGTGGAAGCATGAATTGGTATCCAGAACCTATACTTGTTAAAGACTTAAGGTTCCTGATTCTCTATGTGATATTTTTGTTCATATCTTAAACCACTTTTTTTAAAAGCAATTAGGGCGCTTGTGTCTCTAGGTGATCCTTTTCCATCTACACTTCTAAAGAAACTTCCTTGCCACATCCTAAAGACTAATGGTGGAAGCTTTTACCATCCTTGTTTCATGGATGGAATGACCTTTCATGGCTTCCAAATTTGGAGAAGGTTAGTTGCAGCTTTCCAGGAGGTCTCCACTCATAACCTAATGTGTACAAAGGATTGATGGAACTCTAGAGTCATCCTTCTTTCATTCTTACTTACCGTTTGTTCTTTCAAACTATATTAGAAATGTCCCTTTCTTTTTAAAATGTTGGTTGGTATTTTGTGATTTTTTTTTCAACATATCTCTATGTGTGGGGTTGGAGGGGTACATAACTCTTCAGCCCAGTCTGCCTGATTGTCTAGAAGTCAGTGAGGGTTTCAAATCATGACCTGTAATAATTTGTTCATCAGTAGATAAAACATTAGGTTGGATCCTGGAGGTTAGAATGAGGCATTCAAGATCAAGCATATATTCTGTGCTGGGTAGTGATAAGAAGAAAAACAAATGTGTTTATTTCTTCCTTTTCCTAGTTTGGGATTTGAATTTGATATTCATTATTATCTTTTTTATATTGTATTATGAATTTATATATTTTATTAATTGAGAATGTTATTTATTTGCATACCCTAATTTAGTAATAATTTGAGTTTATTCATTAGTGGTGATTAGTGCTCTAAAAGAGTTAATTCAGGTTATAGAATGGCCTGACTTTCATTTTTTAACAAAGGCAGATTTTTAAAAGAATGAACTTAGAACCATTATTTTCACTCTCATTTAGATCCAGATCAGAAAGCAGCAGGCAAACAGATATTGCCAAGTAAGTAAATTAGGGATTATTTCTTAAAATAAGTATGTTGAAAAATAAGATGAACCAATTGATAATCAATTAATTCCTAAGTATTAATTGAGCAGCAAAAATTGGTACAGTACTATACCAAAAAATAACCTATTTATATTTGTCAATCTAGTAGCTAGTAAGGATTTACCTAAATAAATGTCTTCATTCCTCCAGTTTGTTAATGTATATAGAGAGTTTACTCTTGGATGATTGGTAATGTTTATGGAGCTAACTCATAATTGGGGAAGTTTACTTCTTTATTTGGAGATTCTTCAACTAGAAACTCAATATGTACACTCATGCATAGCTGAGTGAATGCTTGCTTACCATGGTGACTTAAAAAATTTGCTGAAGAAAAACATCATAAAGGAACAATAATTCTATTTCTCCCATTGCCTCTCAGTATTACACAGTAGTTATAATTAGATCCCCTTCCATTACCCAAAAGGTAGATATCTCTATGTAATAATACAATAAGTGTTTAATTTCTTACATTAACAATTTTGGGTTCGGGGTCCTTCAGCAGATATAAAATAGTTGAGAGTTTCCACTCCTCCCCCTCTGATTTAAAAATTCTTTATTTACTTGGTTAGCGGCTGTTTTATACCTTCTAGATTCCTCCAAAGCCCACTTCTATTCCAAGACACATCCAAATCCACAGAGTAAACTTTTTAGGCTGCACATTGGTTGTATAATTGCTCTTATTCCAGAAGAGGTTTCCCTTCATAGGAATGCCTGCTATTCCTGTCCTTTGCTTCTCATTTATTACTATGATCTTATTCTCATGGTGATACTTTGCGGTCACGAGTTACTATTAACAAACTAAAAAATAATTTTCATTATTATGTCCTCTCGGTGCTATGGAGCTATGATGGTGCTCAAACTCAGCAATAAGGTCTCCGTTAACCTTTTCCTTACCTTGGGCTTATGTCTTATCATACACCGCCATTTTAGAGGATAAAGGCCATGTTTAGTTTGGTCAGCATTGTGTAGCCAGCATGTAACTGAGTTCTTGGTTAATAGTAAGTGCTTAATAAATATAGTTGACCCTTAAAAAACACAGATTTGGCCTGACCAGTTTGGCTCAGTGGATAGAGCATTGGGCTGCGGACTGAAGGGTCCCGGGTTCAATTCCGGTCAAGGGCATGTACCTTGGTTGAGGGCACATACCCAGTGGGGAGTGTGCAAGAGGCAGCTGATCGATGTTTCTCTCTCATCGATGCTTCTAACTCTCTATCCCTCTCCCTTCCTCTCTGTAAAAAAATCAATAAAATATATTAAAAAAAAACAAACAAAACACAGATTTGTACTGTGTGGGTCCACATGTGTATGGATTTTTTTCAGTAAACACATAGAATATTATAAATTTATTTTCTCTTCCTTACAATGTTTTCGTAATAATATTTTCTTTCCTCTAGCTTATTATTAGAATACAGTATATAACACATATAAGATACAAAATACTTGTTAATTAACTATTAATGTAATGAGGTTTCTGGTTAACAGTAGGCTATTAGTAGTAAGTTGTTGGGGATTAAAGTTATACCCAGATTTTTGACTGCACAGGGTCAGTCAAAACCCATGTTGTTCAAGGGTTAGTTGTACTTGTTGAATGAATGAATGATTACTTTTGTATCACTCAGTTATAGCATTTTATTTTTTATATGAGGTCTTCACACGCATAGGCAGCCAAAACAAACAAACAAAAAAACCACCCACAAAGACAAATACACACACACACACACACACACACACACACACGTATGTCTATAATGTTATAACTGCTTCCATTTCTTCTCTGAATATATCATCTCTCCTAGGAGCCTTATTCACCTACACAGAGTGAAAGATGATAGCATTACCCATAGGAAAATGTTCATTTCAATTGGAGTACAATTGAAATGTTCATTTCAATTGGAGGAAAATGTTCATTTCAATTGGAGTTCATTTCAATTGGAACGTTAATTTACTGGTCTTCCTGGCTTAGTGTGCACAGGGAAACAGTTTTGGGATAATTATTTTTATTTAAATTTTAATAATGTCACTTGACACTGTTGCTGTGTTTTACTGCCATAGCATCCACTATAGTTTAAGGTTATTTATTTATTTTGGCTTAAGACAACAGAAATTTATTATTTCACAGTTCAGAAGGCTAAAAGTCCAAAACCAAGTTGTCAGCAGGATTGGGTCCTTCTGGAGGCTGTGAGGAAAAATGTGCTCCATGCCTTTCTCTCAGCTTCCGGTGGTTGCCAGCAGTCGTTGGTGTTCCTGGCTTGCTGCTGCATCACTCCCGTTTTTGCTTTCGTCTTCACATGGCTGTCTTTCCTATGGATCTGTGTGTCTCTACAACTCTACACCTCCCTTTCCTGGTATAATGACCCTAATCATTAGCAGTTAGGGCCCACCCTAATGTAGTATAACCTTATCTTGAACTTGTTACAGCTGTAAATTCCCTATCTCCAAATAAAGTCACATTCACAAATACCTGATGTTAGGACTTCAACCTAGCTTTTTTGGGGACAAAATTTAAAACACAACTATATATATATATAAAATTTTCCCCAAGTGAAATCAATACCCTGGTTATCATTAGAAACATAAGCCTATAAATTCATAAAACATATAAAAACCCAATGTATAAATAAGTATAAAAGATAAATAGGTAATTTCAACATGCAAACTAAGCTTTTTTTTTTCTTTCACTTTTTGCCTTCTGCTCCCTTACCAAACAAGGCATGCTTTTCTTACCACTAAACTATTTCTGAAAATTTCTCCACAAAAACTCCTAACATATCTTCCAACTACTTACTCATTTATAGTTCACACATTGTTATTTATTGCCAAATTTTAATTTTTTCATCATACGGTATTAGAACCTTCTCCTTTATAGATGATCAACATAGTTCTCAAATAGTTGCTCTCTTGACCAAGGTCACCAAGATAGTTAATGAAAGAATCAGAAGTAGAACCTAGGTTTTTGTTTTATTAAATTTATTGAGGTGACATTGGTTAATAAAATTATACAGCTTATCATCAGTATATCAACAAATAACAAGTGTTGGCAAAGATGTGGAGAAAAGGGAACCCTCAGGCACTGTTGGTGGGAGTGCAGACTGGTACAGCTACTGCAGAAAGCAGTATGGAGTTACCTCAAAAAATTAAAAATGGAACTGCCTATGACCCAGCAATTCCATTTCTGGGAATATATCTGAAGGCACCCCAAACACGAATTCAAAAGAATATATACACCCCTATGTTTATTGAAGCATTATTTACAGTAACCAAGATTTGGAAGCAGACTAAGTATCCATCAGTAGGTGAGTGGGTATAAAAACTGTGGTACATTTACACAGTGGAATACTATTCAGCTGTAATGTAATACAGAAGGAAATCTTACTCTTTTGACAGCATGGATGGACCTGGGGATTATTATGCTAAGTGAAATCAGCCAGTCAGAGAAAGACAAATACCATATGATTTCACTTATATGTGGAAGCTAATGAAAAAAAACCAACAACTAACAAAATAGAATCATATTCATAAATACAGAGAACAGACTGATAGCCATCAGAGGGGAAGAGGATAGGGGGCTGAGCAAAAAAGGTAAAGGAATTAAGCAAAACAAACAAAAAACCGCCAAAACACAACCATATAGACACAGACAACAGGATGTTGATTATCAGAGTAAATGGGGGTTGGGGGAGGTCAAAGAGGGTAAAGGGGAGATAAATGGTGATGGAAGGATGCGAAGGATAAAACTATACTATCACTGAAGTTTATAACTAATCTATATTATTTTCTCTGTCAATTAAACTCAGTCTGTCTTCAATTTATTCTTTTACTTCTTTATTCTTTTTGTTGGGGGTTCTGACATAAGAAGTCTGTGAATATAAAAATAGAAAAGAGGCCCAATAGTTTGATTTCAACACTCGATAATAATTTGTATAAAATATAAATTTGGCTGAAATTTCTCTTTCATCAAAATTTTGAAAGGAAAGAAGAAACTTCCATAAAAATTGTAAGTTTGTCAGATTGTATTATTTCCTTATTTATTTAGCTCTGAATCACAGGAAAACACCCAAACCTAAAACACTAGGTGAGTACATTAAGAGATGTCTCAAAATAAATGTTTGAAATTACAATGAAATTCATAATCCACAACTAATTCCTAAGTTATTTATCGGGTAGATGAATTGGTAAAGTAATATATAAAAATAATCTATTAATCTTTACTAACCTTGAATGGGCATTTAAGTCACTTAGTCTTTTTTCTTTAGTTTCTTAAAATTCTTTGGGAAGTTGTTCTTGAGGAGAGGATGGAATTAAACTATTGAATGTAATAAGATATAAGATATGTAAATTAGCCTGTAAAATGAATCAGGGCCACTTTATCCATTAGGTACTATAGTCACAATGCATAAGGCCTGTGAGTTTCCAAGTTCCAAAAACATTGTTTATAACATGAAAAACAAAAATGATTGCTGCACGATATGAAAAAGTAAAATTAACATGTATCTAAATTTCTAAAAAATGCAAAGATTAACAGAATGTTAATTCATGAACATTTCATTGTATGTAGGAAAAAATGTTGGATTTTCTCATTCGCAAATACTTCTCATTAAATATGATTTTTCCTAAAAAATCTCAGAAAACTGTAGGGTAAGTTATAGCCAAGTAATATCACAAGCAAAATTACAAAAATTCTTTCTAAAATTCTTTTTTCTGCCATATGAATTTTTTACTTGCCAATACCCCAACTCTTTGTACGTTTTGCAGTGCAAGGGAATTTATTTGCTCTCAGTACTTTAAGCATGTGTGTCTTTGTTCTCTTCCACAGTAACTAGTGATTTCTTCAGAAGCCAATGGATGATATTGAATGTCTCACTGAGAAATAGAAATTCTACCTCCCCTCTCCTAGTCACAGCTGAAGGAAACAATAAACTAAGTGTGGACCAATTTTCCTGCCTGTCTGTTTTTCTCTCTTCTGTCATTTCAGGGCCCTTAACTGAAGATAGTTATCTCAACCAGGCATTCCCATCGACACCCAGCAACCGGAGCTCTTCTCCGCAGCTCTCCCACCACCCACTGGGTTTACTGCCTGAGGCCCCAGATGCTGGGGATTGGCACCAACTGCTCTTATCCAGGAAGGGCTCTGGGTGGTGGGCTGTGTTCCTCCTCCTGGTCCTTCTCATTGGATTTGGCTGGCAGCAGGCAGGTCTCAGTAAATCCAGATATTTGCCCATCTCACCCGTCTCACACCCCAAACCAGGCTTCTGAGAGAGTCTGTGTTCACTTTGGAGGCTGTACTTTAACACCTGGGCCTCTTGCTTTACCCACCACCTTTCTCTCCACTAGGTGACCCACAGGGTAAATTGGTTCATTTGCCCGTGTGCCATAAAGCCCAGTGAAACACAAACAAGGGTTCACAACAAAGAAAGTAAAGGTTTATTTAGGGAACGACGCCACGCCCAGAGACCGGCCTAAGACCTGGCTCCCCAGTGGTCTCTAGAAGAAGGTTTTATAGGGAAAAAAATCAGTCATGGTGACTAAGGGAGTTGGGGTTGTGAGCTCTACTGATTGTCGGGGCAGGTTAGGGATAGTTCATAATTGCATCTGGTCCTGATGTCAGCCATGGCATCGTTCTGTCTGGTTTCATGAGGGTATGGTCAGTAGGGCCATTCAGCTTTCATGGGCCTGGGACTAAAGCAAAACTGAATTGGGGCTTTATTCTTAAGTTTGAATTGATCAGAACCTGACATCCTAAGAGAGATGCAGGCCAAAGTCAGCCACTGCCTGTGTTCTGCACAGGGCCACCCAGCCTCAGCTCCAAAGAGATCTGCAGCTGGTTTGTACTTGTGCTGGGCTTAGAGGTACCCAAGAGAGGCCAAGCTGTGAACAGTAGCTGGCTGCTGCTAATGCCGGGCCTGGGGCCACTTAACGAAAGGTATGAGCAAGCTGAGGCTAGCTGCTACTTGTTTAAAAGACATCAGAAAAGTCTGAAGCATGAACCAAAACAGGACATTTGTATGTAAAAGGCATTGGAAAGGGCTTGGGTGCACCAGCAAGTTGGGTGGGGTGGGTCTCTGGGAATCACCAGGCAGGGCAAACAGTGTGAGCCAGGTTGATAGACTCAGATATGGCACTTAGCCTGCTGGTTCTGTGGCCGGGGGGGTGGGGGGGGGGGTTCTTCAAAGGAAAAATGACCCTTAGAAATCAGAACTAAATGTGTCCAAGCTGCTGCCTGGCACTACCAGAGTCAATACATGGTGACATGGTTGAATCTTTGAGGTGTTTTTATTCAGATGCCAGTGATCTGAGAGAGAGTGGTAAGTATAGTAACTTGAATAAATTGCTCTGACCTCTCATCTCAAGCTAGCCATTATATAGGGTAGAGGGTGTGAAAGAATCTAAAACTATGTGAGTTTCCAGCATCTGTTTCTATCATTGTCCTTGTAAAGATTAGCCCTCTGACATTTGTCTTCCTTGAGGCATGTCCTGTTCTTGATCTACTTTCAAAATGTATCTTCTTTCTGAGTAATGGACCCATCTGGACTTCAAGGCCACTTATCTTTAGGACTCTGTCTTTCTTCTTACAGCATGTCCTCCACAGTTTCCCAGGGTAAGAAATACCTCCACAGCCAAGATATCCCTCTGGATTTTTATCTGTTAGTTTGATGAATAGCTACTAATCAACTGTGAATCTGTTTGTATTGTGTACTCTTCCCCTCTCATTTTGCCAGCACTTTTGTCTGGGAGACAGCTGCCTCCCCAGGTCTCACCCTGATGGCAGGCACTTAAGTTTCTCCTCGTATATCCCTGATGCCTTTTGAGCTGCTATTCCAGCACCGAAGCTCAGAAAGAGTGAATGAGGGTAAATCAGTGTGCAGGCCCTTTAAGAGGAACTTCCTGGGACTCCAGTAGCCTTCATCTCCCTCAGCCTCAATTCCTGCTGTGTGTTTTTAAAGTTATCTTTATTGTTGAAAGTATTACAGATGTCCCTGTGGCTCCCCCTTCCCCCAATTGACTCCCTCCACCCTGCTCTCTTACCCTCCCCAGGCCTTCCCTGCACTATTGTCTGTCCATGGGCTATGCATATCTATATATATGAAAGCCTAAGTGACCGAACGACCAGTTGACCAGTTGCTATGATGCGCACTGACCACCAGGGGACAAATGCTCAACAACATAGGATTGGGCTCCCTCCTGTCTGGATTGGGTCTGTGAGAATTGTGCTCTCTCCTGTCTGGATCAGGCCTGCGGGGATCAGGCTCCCTCCTGTTGGATTGGGCCTGTGGGGATTGGGCCAAAACTGGCTATCCGACATCCCCCAAAGGGTCCTGGATTGCAAGAGGGCACAGGCCAGGCCAAGGCATCCCACCAGTGCATGAATCCATGCACCTGGCCTCTAGTATGCATACAAGTTCACTAGAGGCCCGGTGCACAAATTTGTGCATGGGTGGGGTCTCTTGGGGTGGCCTGTGGGGATTGGGCCCCAGCTCCCACCCCCAGCCTCACAACCCCACAACCCTGCCTGGCACCCCGCCATGGCCTGGTGCTGCCCCCTCACCTGCTCCACCATCGATCGGGGCTGGGCCATTCGCCTGGCTCTCTCAGTGCTTGGGAGCCAGGCAGTGGCCTTGTTCCCCGCTGCCACAGCTGGTTGCCGTCTGCGGGGTGATCAGGCCCCCATTCACACCTGCCTTGTCCTGGCGCCACCCACTCACCTGCTTCACCATCCAGCCGTGGTCCCACTCTACTTGAGGCCCATCAGGGCTGGCAGTGCCTCTACTGTCACCCTCTGCCAGCACCACATTACCAATGCCTGCTGTGTGCCGTGCTGCCTCCTGGTGGTCAGCGCACATCATAGCGAGCGGTCAAACTCCTGGTCAAACAATTTGCATATTAGACTTTTATTATATAGGATTGGTTTTTACAGCCAGGAGTTAGGGGAACTTCTCTTTTGAGCACTGGAACCCTAGATTTGGGGGCCTGGTGTGGGGTTGAGAACCCTTGCTCCTCAAGAGGGACCTCCACAGCCACGATACCCCTCTCTATTTTTATCTGCCATATGTGAGTGTGGGAGCAGCCCCTTCTGCATCTCTGCCCCTCCCACCCATCTCAATGTGGCTTCTTTAAATCCCTAGGTGTATGACTTCCATTCAGCTAGATTTCAGATAGTGCTGAATAATGGTGGTTCTGTAGTTTAGCTCTAATTTTGATATGATTGTGGAGGATGTGAGTATTGCATGTACCTACACTGCCATCTTGACCACAAATCTTGGCTTTTGTTTTTGAGGTATGATTTTATCAAGTACAGTCTTAGGGCCACTGAGAACTGTCACCTGTCACTCATAGTTGCACAGCAAGGTGAGGTTTTCAGATTCTGCAGGAATGCAAGCCTCCTGTCTGCCTCCAGTCTGGATAGACCTTCCTCAATCTTGCCAAAGAACAGCCTTCAAAAACTCCTTGGCTTTGGGAAGTATTTCTGCCTTTTAAAACTTGCCTTTTTACTAGATTCTTGAGGTGAAAGTTTAGATAATTTTTAACCTTTTCTGACTCATTTAAGGATATATATTTGCTCTATGTACTCTTTCAGCTTTATTTCATGAATTAAAAAAAAATCTTGCCCTAGCCAGTTTGGCTCGGTGGATAGAGCGTTGGCCTGCAGACTGAAGGGTCCCAGGTTCTATTCCGGTCAAGGGCACATGCCCAGGTTGCAGGCTCGATACCCAGTGGGGGCGTGCAGGAGGCAGCCGATCAATAATTCTCTCTCATCATTGATGTTTCTATCTCTCTCTCCCTCTTCCTTCCTCTCTGAAATCAATGAAAACAATAAAAAATACATTTTAAAAATAAATAAATCTTTATTGTTGAAAGTATTATATAGGTCCTCCTCCCCCCCTCTCCCCATTAACCTTTTCCAGCTGGCTCCTGTTCCCCCACCCCTCCCTCAGGGCCTCACCACCCCATCGTCTATGTCCATGGGTTATGCATATATGCACAACAAGTTCATTGGTTGATCTCTTCCCACCTACCCTCTACTGCCTTCCCTCTGAGGTTTAACAGTTTGTTCATACTTCTATGTCTCTGGGTCTATTTTTGATCATCAGTTTATCTGGTTCACTAGATTCCACATATGAGTGAGATCATGTGGTACTTAGCTTTCTCCCACTACATGGGAGAACATATTTGCCAATGATACATCCAATAAGGCATTAATCTCCAAAATATATAGGGAACACATACAACTTAACAAAAGGAAGACAATCCAATTTAAAAATGGGCAAAGGACCTAAATAGACACTTCTCCAAAGTGGACATACAGAAAGTCAAGAGACATTTAAAAAATGCTCAAAGTCACTAATCATCTGAGATAAGCAAATCAAAATGACAATATCACCTCACACCTGTCAGAATGGCTATCATAAACAAATCAACAAACAAGTGTAGAGATTGTAGGGAAAAGGGAACCCTAGTACACTGCTGGTGGGAATTCGGACTGGTGCAGCCACTGTGGAAAACAGTATAGAGTTTCCTCAAAAAATTAAATAGGGAACTCCCATTTGACCCAGTGATCCCACTTCTAGGAATATATCTTAAGAAACCCCAAACACTTATCAGAAATAATGTATGCACCTCTATGCTCATAGCAGCACAATTTACAATAGCTAAGTTTAAAAAACAGCCTAAGTGCACATCAGCAGATGAGTGGATAAAAAAAGCTGGGGTACATCTACACCATGGAATACTACAAGGCAATAAAAAGGAAAGAACTCTTACCATTTGTAACAGCATGGGTGGAACTGGAGAGTTTTCATGAATTTTACTATGTTGTATTTTCATTATTCTTCAGGTCAAAATGTTTTCTAATTTGTACCTTGATCTCTGAATTACGGGTGTGATGTATAATTTTCAAGTATTTGGATATTTTCAGTTTGATCCTTTCTTACTGGTTTCTATGTAACATGAAAATATGCAGATCTGCTTTGCCCACTACCCAGTTTCACTTCTCTGGGGTAACCACTCTGCACAATTAATTATGTATCCAGAACTTTTCTATGAACAAACACACACATATTCATATCTCTACATACCTACGCATGCTAGTATAACAATTTAAACAACACTGGGCCACTTATTTCACCCAGTGATATATTATGGACAACTTTCCTTGTCAGTACCTACATACCATTTTTTATTTATACATCTTATTAGATAGCATAAATGTACCATAATTTAGCCATTTTTTTGTATTGATGGACCTTATTTTCATTTTT